GCCTCCCCTCCCGTGGTTGTGAGGACGCACGCCTCCTCGCTGTTTCTTCTAGGAAAGTCCCCATATTCCGCTCCTTATCCGGGTCCTTAATGTGATCCACATGGCCTAGGTGAAGGTTGTGGGGCTGGAGAACTCATTGCTGGGTCTGGCCTTTCTCTTGGCCCCAACCGACCCTGTTTCCCTGGATAACAGGTCCCCATCTGCAGCTTTTCCTGTCCAGCCTCCTCATTTGTAGCCACTTCAACGTGGATCAGGGCCCAGCCCACACGAACCCCCTTCCGAGGGCTCTCTACCTGTAAGGGAGGACACCTGGTGCCAGGTGTGAGCTGGGGTGAAGGTTCTGGGCTCCCGCATTCATTGTCCCCATTGCTCCTCCGGGGAGTCACGCCGGGTGTCTGTCCCGGTCCCTCTCCAGCCTGGCCAGCCCGGGAACTCAGCTGCCGTCTCCTCCTCCAGGCTCCTGGCTCTCTGGACACCCTCTCCTGTATGGCCATTGTGTTCTGCGATGTCCCTATGTGTGAGCCCCGGGCGGCAGCGTCCCTGGCACTCAAGCCTGTGCCGGGCTGCATATCTGGCGCTTTGGCCAGATGGGTCATGCTGCGCTGTCTGTTCCTAAAACACATAGCTAGGAAGGTACTGACCTCAGGCCAGGCCTTGAGATATGGTCTCATGGCCCCTTCCCAGCACGCAGGCCTTCTTTCTCCGAAGGCCCGGAAGTCTCATTCCAAATTTGGGAGACAAAGGACTGGAAAAAGTATAAATAGAGTTTCCTCCATACTGGGGGGCCCAGAATTTGAAAGACACATTTTTCTCTGGGCCTCCACAGAATTTAATAATAAAATGTACCTCTGTAGTTGTCACTGCAGTTCAGCCTCTGCTTCGGCAGGGTGCTGTAACCGTAGTCGCTGGCCAGCTCAGTAAATCCTCCTAATTGGAGTCGGTGGTCTTATTCTCGCGAATGGGGGGCCCAATTTGAAAGACACATTTTTCTCTGGGCCTCCACAGAATTTAATAATAAAATGTACCTCTGTAGTTGTCACTGCAGTTCAGCCTCTGCTTCGGCAGGGTGCTGTAACCGTAGTCGCTGGCCAGCTCAGTAAAACCCCCATGGGAGTCGGGTCTTATTCTCGCGAATGTTGGTCCATACCAAAGCCCTTGGCCAAGGTTCGCTCAGATCATCTCGGCGTCTTTGTTCAATCCTGCCTGGAGGGTTTATGACTTAATCTTCACGGCCCAAAATCCAGGCGTGGTCTGGGGCTGCCTCTCCGGC